CACACACACACACACACACACACACACACACAAACACACACAATGACACATTTGGCTTTGCCATGAAACAGAAACACTCGGACAAGCAAGGACACAAAAACGTAGCCTCTCACACGTTCAAACAAAGAAAACGCTTATTTTCAGAAATGTCCATATCCAGACGAACGAGACACATTTTAAGTGGCATCGGAAGTTAGCACGCTGTGACAGCAATATTAAATAACATGCTGCTTAACATCTCCCATTATTCCAGTTATGTTTTTCGCTCTGCACATGCTATTGTTACGGTATGCAATATTATTATATGGCTTAACTAAATTATTTAAAATCGTTGAAGACGTTCCTTGTCATGAATTCTTTCTATGGGGACAATACAAAAGGTGAATCTGTAGCCTGCAGAGAGAATCTTTCAGAAGTCGCTGGGTAGCCCTCAAGAAAGACAAGGTGAAACATACCCAGTAGTGGAAAAGTAAAAAAAAAATCTAACAGAATGAAAATCGGTGAAATAACATGCATGACTCTTGATGCTATTTGTTCTCTCATTTGCTGGATCTGTTCTAACTAATTCTCGTATTTTTTATTTGTGTGTGTGTGTGTGTGTGTCACAGATCGCTTTGAGGGGCCATAATAGTTGCCACATTTCGACCGAGCTTGATGAAGATAATAGAAACGCTGAAAAATAGGAGGAAGAGCAGAGAGCACCAGAAAGCGCAACACAAACCCACAACTCGAATGTTGAAAACAGTTCATTATGACAGACTCGGATATAACGACCAAGACTTCAAACACAACGCCCGTGCCACTGAGAGACAAACACAGCGAATCGCCTTTGCCGCCATGGTTGTTTCCAGTTACCATGGCAGTCTCCATGACGACCTTCCTAGTAATCTCTTTCGCTCTTCACCACAGAAGATTCCTACTCAAGCGTCGTCGTCTCTACCAGCACCACTGCTACCTGTTACGTCACCACAGAGTAGCTGGCCCTGTTTCTATATCGATGGCCTCCCTTGTCCATCATTTTGGAAATACGATTCCCCCAAACGTTGTCGGTAAGTATGAATGTATATGAATTAAAGACGCAAACAAAATTAAATAAATCTCCATTAGTCGTATCATCAAGTCGAATCAAATGTGTTTTCTTTACAGATTTAGGGGAATTTTAAATACTATTGCGAGTTGGCATATTAGGTAACAGAAATAATCTTGCTAGTTGGCATATAATATTTAATATTATGATAAATATCCCCATTACATGTACCAGAAATATTACATCGAATTAAATTATACTATTATTACGCAACTTTAGAAGTGTTAGTCGACAAAACGTGGAAAGTTTTACTCAGGGTGCTGTCCCCTTTAGAATGCTATATGTACATTCGTATGTACACACGGGCTTACGTGACATGGTTCTGTGAAATAAAATTATAACAATATGTTACTCAAGTTGACTGTTTTGTTCAAACTTAAACTTATAATGATCTTATAGCATCTAAGTGTATATGTATGATGTATATATATATACTGACGAGCAAAAGAAAGTGGGCACCCTACGTTCTGTGCATTATTTCCATTCTTTACTGTAGTAATGACGTATTACCAATGGATTTTGAAAGGCTTGCCATTTTTTCATTAAGGGCAGACAAAAAACTAAGAAAAACGATCAAAACCACACCTTTTATTAGAAACTCATAACACCGATTCGAATGTTCAAAATCCCCAAAATAGTAACGGGTGTAACTCCCACCAACATTGATGACTACAGTACATCTCTGCCTCATTTATTGCACAAGTCGTTGGATAAATTGCTTCAGAATAAATTCCTAGCATTCGTTAATGATTGTTGCAGCTGTGGGGTTATCGTTGGGGGTGGCCGAATCTCTGGGTAACAGAGGAACGGTGTGCTGGTGCAATGTCCTGCCGGCACACGAGATTGTTCATGTGGCGAGCCAGAAACGGCAGAAGGTGTGGATAGAGAACGTCTTTGATGTATCTCTGGGCAGTCAGATTACCGTCGATAATGACTAGGTCGAATTCATCAGTACTGGTTATGGATAACCATAATGCTACGTTTGTCAGAAACAGCACTACTTACACACTGAGGTAAATAACGTTTATGACGTCTCCGGTAAGCTTTCTACCTTCCATAGTGGCGATCCAAAAGAAATCTGGACTCGTCAGAAAATATCACTTTATTCCACTGGCGGTTCAACCATCACCGGTGCAGACGTGCCCAGTGGAGTCTGGCATGATAATGTCTTTGGAGGAGACGAGTGCGTCGAGCTGGGTGTCGGGCCACGATTCCGTCGGCTTTCAAGCGTCGATGAACGGTGATGCGGTTAATTGGTCTAAGCCCAGGCCAATCTCTGGCAGTTTTAGAAGCTGTTTGAAACCGATCCCGCAAGTGTGGAACTCTGATCCGATTGTCTTCAACAGCAGTAGTGACACGAGGACGACCAGACCTTGGAGTGTCACTAACCGAACCACTTGCTTGGAAGTGTAT